TAACAGAGACAATGGCTTATTAGTATTATTAGCGACAGACCGATGAACTGTTCCGTACCGATTTACTCTAAACAGTGCTGTTAATTTACCCATCCACGATATCAATCCTTTATAATAATAATTCAACATTAAATTATAAACTGAATTACTGCTGCATCATTGTTATCAATATTAAAACTGTTGTGCAAGATTACATACACACACATACACACACACACACACACACACACACACACACACACACACACACATATATATTCCTATTTATTAGAGAGAATTTTTAAGATAGATAGAATACAATGTTTCCTATAATGTATGTACTTTAAAATTGAATTATATAACTAATTATTTATAGTATAATAAACAAGAAACATTTTACAAAAGTGGTGATATAAGGTAGGGAAGAGCGGAGCCTCTTGGCACAGGCATCTTTATGCTTAAAAGGAGTCTTCAACAACTGTAGAACGTAATTGTAAAATGGTGTTATCTAAATAAAGAATTTTGAATTTTGAATTTAGAATTCTGGACAATTCACACAGCGCCATCTAGTCCCAAGATAAGCAGAGCTTGTATTATCGGTATAATACATACGATATAAATATTTATATACATTTTGTAAATACATACTTTATATAGAATACATATATATAAAGCACCCAGACCGATACAAACAATCATACTTATGAATTCAAATGTTTATACCGTGCGAAGAATCGATCCTATGACCATCAGAAAGAAAGCGGTATACTAAATATATCACCGTGGCAGTCAATTATTAATTCAATTTTTTTTTTATTATATCTCTGAAATCAATAATATTAAAAAAATATATTTTATATCCATCACAATAAAATTCTTTACGTAAAACTCGTTAAACAAGATAATGTATTTAGACAAGAGAGTTCTTCCATTATATTGAGCAAACCTAGTCATTCAGTATTAACTAAAAAAAAACATTATTATCGTCGAATCTCAGTTTATTGAATATTTAATTTAATCTATTATTGACAGACATTTTAAATAGTGTAAGGAGAGGTGAATGCCCTGTTCTTTAGGACTTAATAAAGTATTATATTAAAATTTCAGAACTAACGAGCTAGCATTTTAAAAAGGTCTTACCTATAGTAATAATAATTGAATTAGATTTGTTAGTAGAAGATATTTTACTGAATTGCAATTCTCAATTTAGAAAATAATTTAAAATACGTTCTATATACGTCTATTTTAGATTCTGAGATATTGTATCTATAATACATAAATATATTTCAATATAGACATGTATATTTTCTCATCTGAAAGTGTCAGGCGTAAATAAAATCATAGCACTCCTTTTTGCTCCACCGTAATCGGGTAAAAATTGCAATACATATATCACAATAATAATTAAATAAATACCAATAGTAATGTGAGTATTACCTACTTTTAAATTTGTAAAAGAAGAAAGAGAAAAGAGGTAAGATATTAATAATAATAATAATAATAATAATCCTAGAGAATCCACACAACGTCATCTACTCCCCAGTTTAAGTTTGTGTTATGGGTACTAAACGACTCATGGTAATCCTTAAATACATTTATTATTTGTAAATACATATTTAAAATACATAGAAAACACCTAGATGTATAGAAATAATAATACTCAATAATACAAATGTTTGTATCGTGCGACGAATCAAACCTGCGACTATCGGAAATAAGGCGGTATACTAAACCTCTAGATGGTCACTGGGGCATATCAGAGTTAAAAATTAATTAAAGCATAAGTAGGTACATTGGTTATCCAGGTACAATATTGTAGTATGGAGATTGTATGGTTACCGTGTATTTGATTAAAAAATCTCATCATCATTTTAATTTGTATTGCATTTTTTTATTGCGAATTGGAGAGATAAAATTGTGGACAGCCCGCGGCCGTTCTTATATCCAATCGAATAAATTATTTCTTCCATAAAAGCAACAATGTTATAGCTGTTACCAATTAAAAAACGGATATCGTAATGGTAGCTATGGGGTAACAAATAGGTCGACTGTTTTTTTTAATTGAAGATAATGGAATGGTGCACCCGTCTGCGCTAACAGTTTACGCTGGCGGGGCACCAGTGGATGATAAGATGAACATGAGATCTGGTCAGTTAGTCCATCGTGACAAATTCTCATTCATGTCGAATATTTTGAATCCTAAGCAGAACACTTGAAAAAAATGTATAATTTTGGCTAATTGTAAACCAATATTTAATTAAAATTCTTACTATTGGATACAAAGAAGTGTACATATCGAAATAAAAAAAAATCTATCGTTTCTTCAGATTAGATGGCGATCAAGATAGACATGTAGGGACAGGTCTGTTCTGATAACTATGACTGATTTATAATTTACTCAATAATATAATCTTCTTGTAATGATTCTGATTTCCGAAAGAGCGGTAGAATAAAAAAATGTACATGACTTTTGAATAATGTGAAGATATACAAAACTGACATATCTTTTTAAATTCTAAATTTACTCAAGCTTATCCGTTTAGGTATTAACAAATGACTTTATACCCAATACCATAAAGACAATCCAGTGGTAGTAATTATATGATATAAGGTAGCTTATGTCATGTATCATATCATCTTAGACCTTACATCATATAATTGTCTGTCTGTAAGGGAGTAGTGTAGAGTGGACTAGTTCCAAACTATATATTAAAAAAAATAAGCTATAATACTGAGCTGATATTGTTGTCACTTTAAACGCCAACATACGAGTAGGGTGACACAGCCCCTTTCTTACGGACACGTCTACATAACTGGAGATTGGCTCCTTGAATAGATCAAAGAGATTTCAGTCCGTTTACTGGAGCGGAAAACTGAAAGAAAACACTTGATATAATATAATATGACAGCATCCCATGACTGGTGCCTGGGAGCCGTGAAATTGGATGGGGCTCCGTTATAATTAGTGGGAGTAATAGTGTATTAGTAATAGAGATGTGCCATGTTTGTGAGACGTTTCTGTGTCAATGTAGACACCGGTGAGCTGAGACTGCTGAATATTTTTATTATTGTGAGTTCACTCCTAATCTGAGACTGCCTCATATTTCTGTTATTGTGGGTTCGATCCAATGACCATTCAGATATTTAAGTTCATGACTGTGATCGATTGTATTTTTTTTTTAATAATACTTTTTTTAGTTGAGCAATAACTGTTATTAGTAATTTGAATAAATACATATTTTAAAATCAGCTTAAGCAAAATATGCAAAGTTATTTACCGTTATTAATATTTTATTATTTGTTTTATGTATATTATGTATGTATTTAAAAATATATGCTATTTAGTTTAATAAACGGGTACAGAGATTATATATCAATGGTTAAATTTAACTACAAGTTCTGAGTTCATCCAATTTAAAAGTCCATGTAAGTAGTTGATTCTGTCAGGTTAAAAACCGTGACCTGAATCCTTGGCTTTCTTGATTCACACTTAAATGCCGAGTATTTATAATATTCGACCATCAGTTTTATAATATTATACTTTTTATTAGCTGATGTCCATAGAAGAAGATATTGAACATGTTTGAATTAAATGAAGTATATAATAAACCTCGTTTACAATTAGTCAGTCTAACAATGTACGAAATCATCGTGCCGTATCAAGTGACCTAACATTTTTCCTCGTCTATTTTCTATTATGTTCAATATCTGCCTTTTTTCTTTTACCCTGTGTAGTACTTCTTCGTTTCTTACTTTACCCTTCCAGCTAATTCTTTCCATCCTCCTCCAACACCAGGAAAGAGGGGGAGGGGAAGACCAAGGAATAGCTACATCAAACAAATTGAGGACAAAATGGGAGTCGTGTCGTATCAAGAATTAAAGAGCATGATGGAAGATCGCGGAAAGTGGCAAGAGCTCCACCGACAAGAGCGTAGCTCTTAAATTATGAATGGAATGGAACAATGCATCTCCGGGGGGAAGGGGATTGTTAGTAATGTGGGCTGACCCATTGCTAGCAATGTACCATGTCAGATCGACCTCCACGCGGTTCCCCCTGGAAACCATCGTGATACATTCCCGGTGAATTTGTCACGATGGGCTAACTGAACTGACCTCATGTTCATCTTATCATCCTCCACTGGTGCCCCGCCAGCGAAAACCGTTAGCGCAGGCGGGTGCACCATTCCATTATCATCCTTTAAAAGAAAATGTATCTCCGACTACTTTGAATTTATCGGTGTATTCATTGCTGGTGTATTAAATTAAAATATAAATTGTCACAGTTTTTTTTTGCCACTGCTAATTACGTGCAATCTGTGGTCAAATTGAAAATAGATTAATATTGTTTGCCTTTATTATTATTCGTCTATGGACATATTGAATGTTAAATTAATTTTGGTCACATTTTGAACACTGGGCGATCACAAGTTAATGAAATGAAATCAAAAATAATTTATTCATGTAGGACATTTTACAATTTTTTGTATTAATATTTTTTCCCTATCATCTCCTTCTCTATCATACCTCCGTATCTTAATAATATTATAAATGCGAAAGTTTTTAAGTATGATACATATATGTTTGTTACTCTTTCACGCAAAAATTACTGAACGGATTTTGATGAGACTGTACAGTAATATATAATATAATATAATAATAATCTCAGGACAATTCACACAGCGCCATCTAGACCCGAGTTAAGCTAGCTAAAGCTTGTGTTATGAGTACTAGATAACAGATACATATACATCGATTTTTTTTTGTAATTATATACATATTATGCATAAAAAACACCCAGACCGATACAAACAATCATACTCATGAATACAAATGTTTGTGCCGTGCGAGGAATCGAACCCGCGACCATTGGTCGTAAAGCCGTGTGCTAGACCGCTAGACCACCGAGGTTGTAATATAGCTTATGCATCAGAATAATACATAGGCTATATTTTTTATTGAAATTTAATACGGATGAAACCGCGGGCACAGCTAGTCAATAATTATCTTCTATTTTGTTGCAGGTACTAGTGTCAAGTGATTATATAATAAGATCAATGTTTGCGCGATAGTGTCAGTGGTGTTGTGTGGATGTGGTTTGGAAGCTGATCGAACTGGCGTGGTACGGGCCCGGCGGGGGGGCGATGCAGGCGGGCGGGGGCTGGTTCGTCCCATGGACGATGGGGGTGCAGAAGTTCGCGGTGGCACTACCCATGGGCGGGGTTGTGCCACTCGTACCCCCCTTGTTAGCGGCGTTACCACCAGCCCCGCCGCCTCTGCGCCTGATCGCCCCACCACCTATGCCGCATCAAGCACAGCCTGGGAGAAAGGTATGTTTATTTACACCGATGACACATAAATGAAGTTTTAATATGAATCTTATGATACTTTCTTTAATAAAGAGAATCAAATGACATGCTGAAATGTGGTTAATAATTTTAGGGAAACAATTCTTTGTCGTTATTACATAAGTGCCTATAGTTGAAGCATGTTTAATTATCATCCATACATATATACTCAATACATATAAATAAAATTGGAGTGTCTGTTTGTGATATTTAAATAAACGTTTTTTAATACATGCATATGAATATAAATACGGTACATACACAAATTAACATTTTTTACAAATTTTGTCTGTCTATCAGTCTGTTTGTTCCGGCTAATCTCTGAAATGGCTAGACCAATTTTGATGGGACTTTTCATTAACATAAGGAATAACTTACGCTAATTTTATTTTAGAAAAATAAAGTTAAATTCCACGCAGCAGAAGTCGCGGGAACAGATAGGTATAATTATATATAAATATACACTAAGATTTTTTTTAAGTAACCTTTATATATCTCTGAGTGCAGCGAATAGAGCTAGATATTTAACTAACACGATCTACAGACGATACGAAGATCAATCAATCGAATAATATATGTGAACCCCGATTTCGCTACACACAAGGCGATCTAGGAACCAATCCAAGAAGCTTCCCACCGTTACTTCGATATTGTCCCTGATACCAGTGTGGTGTGTAGGCCGCTTAACAATGTTTATCAATGTGCAGTAGACATAGAAACTAGTACCGAGTTCTCTTTTTGAATTTTTTCTGTCTCTTTCCAGTTTACTCGCTATTAATATCTCGACTAGTGGAACTTGTACTGAGCAGGTTTTAATGTACTGGCTGCTTATTTTGAATGCGAATGCACATTTTTCCCACGATAAAGTGATATCTGTTTGTTGAATTAACGACTTAATGCAATTGAACATATATATTTAATTTTACTCGCAATATTTTGTAGAATTATATTGCGAGGGGTCAATTATGTTAACGCAACTTGATCTTATCCTGTTGCGTCGTTTGTAAATAATTGTTTTGTATTTTTTTTAATAAACATAAGCTGTATAAGGAATCTATTTTAATGCATTGCGTTCTTTGCATTCAAGGATTACTTTTTTATCCGCAATTATCTTAAATACTGCATTAGAGATTTGTAATAACGATTATAAAACCGTTTTGTATAAAATATTTTAAATGAAATTTGGTACATAGATTGGTCATATTCATGACTGGATTCATAATTCGATTAGGTTCTTATTGGTATTTTTATGCACACCTAAACTTACTTCTTATATTCTTTACGCTAAATTCGTGCTAGAATGGTACTTACTTATAGTTAAGTTAGACTCTTTAAGTTGCAGTCTTAATAATTATCTGCTTCTTCCTTATCCCATTTATTTGGGGTCGGCGTAATATGTTTTTACTATATGTACTCTGAAATGTTGCAGTATATACATGTATATGTGTATACACGATTTCACTTATTCAGGTTATAAGCAAATTTATCTAATGAAGAGCAGGTGCAAGTATGGCTATCTTTCTCGAGTTGAGATGAAAAAATAGACAACAAATCTACGGATCGCGGGACCAGATTAACAAGTTCTAGACAAATATTCCAATATACGATGATGCGGGATAATATGCTAATGGATGCATAGTTTGTGATGCACAGCTGATATTTGGGATATTTTATTAAAATTAAACTATGGCCAACTAACTAAATCCTGCGGCGCTGCTCGCAGTTGCCCGTAGTCAGGAATATCGATAATACCGTATCGGATTTTATAATTTATGATTATAGAAACACTTTTGTTCTGACTACTAATTAAGGCACAAACAAAACCACTGAAATTTGTGTTAAAGGTAATAATAATAGTAGTGGAAACATGTAATAAATACTTAGCTAATTTATACGATTTGTACGAAATTTTTAAACATACCAAATTACGCGAAATTTTGAATGTTATATTTTGAATATTATTTTCAATATTATTTCTAAATAATAATAATCCAGGAACTTTCACACAACACCATGTAATCCCAAGATAAACAGAGCTTGTATTATGGATACTAGACGACCCATATATACACTTAAATATATTTTTTTTTGTAAATACATACTTAATATACAATCATAATTTTGTAATGTTTTTTCTGAGTGCAATAAAGCATATATTTACATATTAATGTGTTTTTACTAACCGACAACAGCATATATCAATAATATAAAATAATCAGAATAAAAATAAAAAAAATAAAAAAGCCTTTTTATTTCTTGCTTATTACAAAATTATGGTGTTAGCAACTTAGAAATATATATTTATCACTATTTGTTAATTTATAATTATTCAAGTATTTTTATTATTATTAATAATCTATTTGTTACTAATCATCATCATCATCATCGCAGCCCGGAAGACGTCCACTGCTGGACATAGGCCTCCCCCAAAGATCTCCACGACGATCGGTCCTGCGCTGCTCGCATCCAATGCCTTCCCGCGATCTTGACCAGATCGTCGGTCCACCTTGCTGGAGGCCTTCCCACGCTGCGTCTTCCGGTCCGTGGTCGCCACTCGAGGACTTTACTGCCCCAACGGCCATCTGTCCTACGAGCTATGTGCCCTGCCCATTGCCACTTCAAAGTCGCAATTCTTCGGGCTATGTCGGTCACTCTGGTTCTTGTTGTTTGTTACTAATATGTATCAATAATATATTAAGACCATATTCGTCGGTTAAATAGAAAAATGGCAGTATTCACAATGTACATTATTTACAAGACAAGCATTTAAAGTTTTAAAATATATATATTTTTTACGTTTTAAATTTACATAGAAATACTTATATATATTATATATCATTTTAAAAGTATTTAGATAATGATTAAGACAGCGTGGTTAATTTAATTGACTTATATAAAAGTAGGCAATTCTAGCTTCTAATTTTGAAAAATGTCATATTTCTATTTAATCGACGATATATTTGTACACATATATATGTAGATATGTTCTATAAGTAAATGAAAAAAATACAAATACGAAACAAACGGTACGCCAACTATAGTGGGTGCGATTAATAATCTCCCCGTGCATTCTTAGCCTTAACTATCTACAAGACAGAGCAACGCGTTTAATCCGATGACATAAGCTGAGACTATTAAGTGCTTACACTGAATCTAGGAGCAATTAATGAGAATGTAGCAGACTAGGTGGTAAGTGCGTAACGTAATGAATTACCACATTAAATATATTACAAACATACTTTGTTTATCTTTAATTAGTCTATTTAATTAACTGTTTTGATATTTCACTGTTTCATTTGAATAAATTAAAGACTAGCATAAAATTACTGGGATAATGAGTGGAAAAAATGTGGATTTAAAAAATAAATACATGAAGGGGTTTCGAATAATATTATTTTTTTTAGTTTTAGAACATCGGTGGTCTCGAGCAGTGATTCCCAAAGTGATCGACCCCCAGGGGTCTATGGCAAACTGCAAGGGAACACAAAAAAGTTTAGGAACCTCTGGTCTAGAGGATGGTGTGCCTTAGTTGTTTCATATAGTTGCGCGTTCGATTTTCACACGATGCAAACATTTGAATTTCGTTTGGCTGTTTTCTATGTATATTATGTATTTACATGTTTTGTGTTATGGGTGTATTATGTATAACAAGCTCTGCTTATATATCTGCTTTTTTTTTTCAAAAATTATTAAAATCACATTATCTGTCCCTATAATAGAATAATATCACGTCCTCTCGTCCATTATTATGTAGTATATGTATGTATATTGTATGTATTGGTGTGTAAGTTTATTTATTTATGTTTATAAAATGTATGTTTATCTATAATTGTATAATAAATAGAGTGTTTAGTGCGCCTCCTACCTTCTCTCTTTATGTAAATACTCTCTGTTAACACCGGGTTGTCTGTAAGAGATTGACCGACGAAGACCGCCATTTGTAAAATATTTATTTTCATTGTTATTATTATTATTATATTTGCATAACTAGCAATAGTGCTCCAATTATTATAAAAAAAATTATCGACCTTCTATGATATCTATAGAGATATCATAGAACGTGGATCATTTTTTTTAACATTCAGAAAAAACGCAAATCTTTATTGATAGCAATTCTAGTCTGACTGCGTATTTTTTTTTTGTATTTTTTTCAAGTCTCGCAGCTTCATTTGGACCCAAGTTAGTTAAAGCTTGTGTTATGGGTACTGGATAACTGATACAAGTACATAGATATTTTTATCGTAAATACATGCATATTATACATAGAAAAAACTCAGACCAATACAAACAATCATGATGAATCATACATAAGTATTTATGAATACAAATGTTTGTGCCGTGCGAGGAATCGAACCCGCAACCATCGGAAGTAAGGCAGTGTGGCTAAACCGCTAGACCACCGAGGCCATATTCTACTTTATATAACGAATATACTCAAATTATTTCCACACCACTGCAACCATGAATTTATAACAGGCCAATTATTGTCTCATGCTCTCACCTGCGATGCTTCCAAACCCAATGAAATAACCATAAGCTGGTTCCATTTAAATGAACATGTTGGCTTTGAGATTGCAAACTTTAATAGTAGTATTTACGTCATAAATCAAGTCCCTATTGCTACGTTAGGACTTCGTTTGCTCTCATTTGCTGACCACCGAATTAAACCGGTTTCTTTTGTTCTTAGTATTATATATATACTAGTTCTATACGTAGTAAGTATTATATATATATATATATATATGTAAATATATAGATCACAAACAATCATACTTATGAAACACCAATGTTTATACCGTGCGAGGATTCGAACCCGCGGCGAACGGAAAAACAGTAACGTGTTAAACCGCTAGACCACCGGGGTCGTCTATTTGCTAACTATGTCACAAGTCACAAGTCCTCATTACTGACAACTCTCCCCCATATATATAATCTACGTATTATATATATATACAACTATATATATATAATACGTAGATAAT